CAAGTAAACCTGACGAGAGCTGAGGAACCCCAAACTGCAGGGAAAACATTTAGTTGTAGTTTTTGTAGTAAAACGTTTAAAGGATGTGGAAGTCTAATTAATCACATCAGGGGCCACACTGGAGAAAAACCATTTGAATGTAAAATTTGTGGGAAAAAGTTTAGACTTAACTGTCTGCTGAAGTACCATTTCAGCATTCACACAGGAGAGAAACCATTTAAATGTGGAATTTGTGGTAGGAAATTTAAACTGAAATGGGTGCTAAAGAATCATTTCAGAATTCACACTGGAGAAAAACCATTTGAATGCGAAAGTTGTGGTAAGAAGTTCAGACATACGACGGGGCTGAAAAGTCACATAAAAACTCACACAGGCGAGAAACCATTTGAATGTGGAATTTGTGGTAGGAGATTTGCACACAAGGCGGGGCTAAAGGATCACACGAGAGGTCACAGAGTAGGRCAAACATTTGAGTGTGAATATTGTGATGAAAAACTTTATCGCGAAACCTTTAATGATCACATGATGGACCACAAAAGAAAAATGCCCTTTTCTTGCAATGATTGTGGGAAACGGTTTAAACTGGAGTTTAATTTCAAAAGACATTTGATGGGTCACAAAGGAGAAAAATCCTTTGATTGGGATTTTTTTGGAGAAAATATTTAGTTGTGTTCCACATCTTGAGCTACAGAGGAGGGAATCAGTTTGTTGCTGATTTCACACAAGTGTCCGTTCTCACCGAGTATGGATTTGTTTTTATTTCAGAAGTTGTCTTTGTATGATGAACCATGGAGATAAAATGTGCCATGTTTTAAACAAAAATGCTGAATTCCWCTAAGACTGACTTTATCAAACCTGTTTTTATACACCTGCAACCTGATAAACTTTGCAGTCAAAAGTGACGTTGATCWTCTGTAATGACAGAACTCAAATTAGCACTGTGGATGTTTCTGTGTGGGTTTAAAAACTGTTCGGTGTGATCAGTAAATGAATGCTGTCAGTGTAACGGATTAATAAGTCCGTTCATGATTTACTATGCATGTTTGAAAAACTCAGTAGCAGAAAATGGTCAGCAGGGCGCATCACCATAAAAGCTGTCGGTTTCCATTTCAGGTTCTGTAATAAAAAGTACGGAGCACGTCCAGTCACATTGGATTTTAAAAAATTAATGCGTGGCCACAAGATAATTATTGATGTCATTTCTATGCAAAGACTTGATTGTTCGCGTGGTCAAGTTTGAATTAATTCAATTTTGTTTTGATATAGAAACAAACGGCATACTTCAGTCACTTTTGGTTAGGCATGAAGTAATTCTYAGAATAATGTTGCAGCCATGAGACACAGGTGATGACTAGAGTTGTTTGTCTAAAAAGCTTTTTAGTTTACGCACACTTAGGGCGTTCAGTGCCATCTCGTAAATATTAGTACTATGAAAAGTAAACTGCTTAGATTGAAGCATGGAGGTATACTCTTGGAATTATACACACACCAAAGCATGGGGTACTTTTGACCTTTGAACAGTTAAAAACAAACAACAATGTCAATCTCTCAAAGATGACACGGCTGCTCAAAATTATCTTGTTTTTTAAATGTATTTATTTTATCTTATCTGTAGATAGGAATGCAAAACAGATTTGACTCTATGGTTAGAAGGAAAAC